GTGGCCCCACTGTGCTTAAGACAACCTTCAGCCACCCTCCCCTTTCCCCTGGGGCCCGAGAGCAGGGAAGAGTGTGCTGGACAGAAGCCAAGCCAACCAGATCCAATCATCCAATCACAAGGAGAGCGAGAGAGGAAAGATCCCCACCCGGAAAGGGGCCTGGGAAAGCGTGGCATTCCGATGGAGTTGTGCGGGGTGAGGGGGTGGGGGGGCTTCGAGGAAGAAATCCCTTGCAGACATGCCGCAGAAGGTAGCAGTCAGGGGGCAGATTTCTGGTTTAATTCGAAGCGCTCAAGGAGAAATCTGAATTTGACCTTTGGTGTTGGCAATACCTGTAGCTGCACGGAATAATAATGAAGAGAGGGGGAATAATTGATTTAGCGGACAAAAAGGCACGCCATCGGATCCTGATGGTCTCAGACTAAGTACCACTCTGCCGTCTGCGTGGGATGGGGGGCAACAGAAGAGGGACAGCACGTGTCACGCTAGCGACCATGTCCCTCGCCACGTCCACTGAAGGAAAGGCACAGCCTTCGAGGGATTGTTATTTCATCAGAAAAACAGCAACGACCACATCATGGAATTGCAGTGTATGAAAACAGAGTTCAGGGCCCTACCTACGTGCAGGCCTTGAGAGAGCAAGTCTGCTTCTTGCTATTGCTATTTTCCAATCTTTTCTGGACGACACTTCCTCCTTGGCGTGCAAGATATTTATCGGTTCTGTGTTTCTACAACGGAGTGATCGAAAATATGTGCAATAGTAGGCTTTTCTAGGTTGTGTGTGTTTGCCTTTAAAGAGAGATCTTATAATTAAAGGTTTGTCATGAGGTGACATGGGTGTAATTTAGGGTTGTCAACTGAGGTAAAAACGTGCTTCCCTGCTTTCATCGTTTATTTTAGAATGGAAAGTATGTATTGTAGGGGGAAATGTATTATTGGGAAATGCTGTATTGAAAATGTAATCTTTTCTTTTTGTTTAACTTATAGGAACACTTCCTGCCCATCTGCTTCCCTTCATTCCATTCTTTGCTCTTACTCTCCCAAGACCCCTTGCAGTCACTTTGCTTGCAACTCCCAGCGGCCCTAGAGGACACAGGACTACCCCACAGGTCTACAGGTCTTTCTCCCAAAGAGCAGCCGGTGGGTTCTAGGCACTGGCCTTTTGGCTCGCAGATGTGCTCTTCAGCAGGGTGCCACGGGGGTGCCTTCTCTTTGCTGTTGGTAAAGGGCCCATGCTGTTTCTTCTCATTTGATTCAAATGCAATGGACATGCTGCCCCCTCCCCGCTCCCCCCCTTTCAGTTGTTCTAACACCGCAGGATAACATTCCCCTTCACAAGTCTTTCCTCCCAAGACCTCTTCTCTGCACACTTGCAGCTGGCCTGTACGACCTCTTTCTCCTTTTCTATTGTCTGAGCGTATGGGGCAGGGCTGCTGAGTCTAAGGTTTGGGCCACCGTTCTCCGATCTCTTCTTCTGTAATAGATCATTGGGAGTCCAGGCCCAGGATTCACGGTCTTTAGGTAGAAGTCCGTGCTATTGGTCTTAGTTTGTACAAATGCTTTTTCTCTCCAAATGACGAACATAGTTTGTCCCTTTGAGAAAATCACAATTCTCTATTAAAAACATTTTAACAGAGGTAGTTTCCTAAAGCAAGCATACATTGTCTCAAGGTTATACGTCATCTGTCCTTGGACGATAACTGTTAAAATAAACATGAGTATTACAGGAACATTCTTTGCGCTTTTAAATAAGCAGAAATTGTTTTAGGATAACAAATACAGAAGAAATATAGGTTAGCTTAAAACTTGTGATGAGAATGTAAACATTCTCCGACCTTCTGAATTATCTTCTTAATCTAAAGAATAACGAGTAACCCAATGTTCTGAAATCTCAAACGTGTTTAAACTAGTAGTCCCTTATACTCAGGGGAGACTACTAGAAATTTTAATTTTTATAAGATCACAAAGGCTCTAATATCCACATATTTTCCTCCCTTCCCCACTTTTCAGGTTGCCCTCCTAGTTAGAAGGGGAAATAACATAAGTCAAGTGAACCTTGAGCGAGCACTGAGTTGCCAGCGTTTGGGGGCAGGACAAGAGAAGGCAGAAGCACATAGGGAGGAAGTGGGATATGTGATGGTACATACATGGAGGAGATTACAATGAGTGAGTGGAAGCAAAATATGTGTTAATTGTTAAATGTAAAAGTGATGAATTTTCACCCAACACACAGAAAACTTAAAAAAAAAAAAGGAGAAAAGAGAGAAGAAAGAGGAGAGAATGGAAGAGGAGGTGGGACAGAAATCTGCTGATTATTGTAGAAAAATTGCTCCAGGAGCATGGGGCCCAGTGATTAAATGCTTGGCTACTCACTGAAAGGTTGCTGGTTCAAACCTACCAGCCCCTCTGCAGAAGGAAGATGTGCCAGCCAGGTTTCTAGAAGTTTTAGCCCTGGCACCTTGGGGCAGCTGGGCAGCTCTGCTTTGACTTTGATCATTTCTATTAATCTCATTTAGATTTGAGGGCAATTTTTTTTTAAATCATTGTCTTCCTACCTTTCCTCTTTAGTCTTCCTTTTCCACCAGATGACAAATAAAATGTCAAGTTCTGACAATGTTTGTAGATTTGAAGAGTCACTGTGACGGCAGTCTCTCCCCAAACTCACTGCCATCTCGTCGATTCTGACTCAGAGACCCTAGAGGTAGGGGGCTACTCACTGAGCTCTAACCATAAGGTCAGTGGTCCAAACTCACCAGCCACGTACTGGGAGAAAGCCAGCGCTGTCGGCTCCCATCATGATTTCAATTCCTGAAACCGAAAACAGCAGTTCTGCTCTGTCCTCCGGGTTTACGATGAGTGAGGGCAGTAAGGACTTGTCTTTATCAAAAGGTGTGTACATATATGTTCTTGGTGGCCCTTTAACCCCTCCTTCTTCTTTCTTGCGGTTTTTCGGTGCTGTCAAGTCTGATTCACAGGGACCCGGTCCAACAGCATGCAATGCTGCGCGTTCCAAGACCATCCTCACAGTTAGTGTGGTGCTTCCGCCCATGAGTTAATCAGGCTGCTGGTTGGAATTCTTTTCTACTCACCTGTTTGTCTTAAATTGGTTTCCTCAGGGTGATCGTGCACAATATCACACTTAATGATTTTCCTGGCTCCTGCTTTCCAAAGGCTATATTAGCACATTCTCCTCCTCCTCCTTCTTTTGTTACACATGTAATAAATTCTGTTAGTTTGTACTTTGGGGGATGGAAGGAAGGTCATTATCCAGCATGACTAAATCTATTACCCCAGAAGTCCCTACTTGGATGGACCATACAAATAGTACAAGAGTCAACCACAGTTAAAACACTTCAGTTTTTCTTCATCTGCTCTAGGATCCCTTTCCAGCTTAGCCTCGCCTGTAAAGCTGTGTGTCAATTGGTGTCCAGGAACCTTTTTCTAGTCTTTTCTAAAATTCAACCTATTTGAAACACTAACCTCATGTAATTTTATAGACCATGTTGTTATAAGCATTGCTGGTACCTTTTTTTTTCTTTCTCAGTTTGTCTTCAAAGAAGGAACTAAAGGATTAATAATCCACACAAATCATGGTCTTAAGTGTTTGGGAACCAGAAGAACTAGATGGTGCCTAACTACCACTACTCAACATTCTGACAAGGGGCACAAGAGGAAGTCTCAAAGAGATTGGGAGAAAAACGCAGAGCAAGCTCAGAATCCTAAAAATGGTCAAACTTACTGGATAGAGACCAGGGGCATCTCTGAGGCAGTCACCCTGAGATATTCTTAGACTTGGAAATGAAACCTCTCCCAGAGGTTACTTTTCACTTATGCAACAGATAAGGTCATAAAAGAAACAACATCAGCATGGAGTAGTGTACTCTTAAAAAAATAGTCTCTATGAGATACAATAGTCAACATTTACCTTAAAGCAAAAATGTGAAGGTAAGGGAGGCCAGGGAAGTTAGATGAATGGCGATAGAACAACCAGAATGGGTATAATGAGAATATTGAACCATTGTGAAAAATATAGCCAATGCCACTGAACAATATGCACAGAAATTGTTAAATGAAGTTAATTGACTGTGTAAACATTCACTAAAAACACAATAAAATATTCTTAATTAAAAAAATGCTTATGGTTCTTCCTAGATGCTGGGATTGTTTTCTTGCCTCTTTTTGTCTTTCTCTCTTTCTATCTCCTTTTCTTTTCTCTTTTTCCTTTCTTCCTTCCTGAAATTTCTTTTGTAAACAAATAATGCTATGTTCACCATGATCACCCTTAAAATGGTGGATCGTATTGTTATCGTCATTGGGCATCAATGTGTCAGCGCCACCATAACTACCCTCCGTACAACAGAATGAAGCACTGCCTGGCCCATGCCTCTGTCACCTTTGTCGTCATGTTTGAGCCCCTTGTTGCAGCCACTGCAGCCACTCATCTTGTTGAAGGTCTTCTACCAAGCGTGATGTCCTTCTTTGGGCCCTGGTCTCTGCTGATAACATGTTTAAAGAACACGAGTTGAAGACTCACCATCCTTGCATCCAAGAAGCATTCTGGCTGTACGTCCTCTAAGACAGATTTATTTGTTCTTCTGACAGTTCATGAGACTTTCATTATTCTTCACCAACAACATGATTCAGTTGCACTAAGTCTTAGAGGGCATGAAGCCCCTATGCTATTTTTGAGCGGGATTAAATCAATTTTGACTCATAGCTACATTCTAGGACTGAGTAGAACCTAGGATTCCCTAGGCTGTGATCTTTACAGAAACAGATCTCAAGATTTTATTTTTCCTTTGATGGAACTTGGTTCATGGATTTGAATTTTGACCTTTTGTGTCTCAGCTAAGTACACAGCCATGTGTCCCCAGGACCCTTGTAGCAGGATAAAACAGGTGGTGTTTAAACAAATGCTTTATCTGTTACATCAACTGCATTTCTAAATAAATATATAGTTGCACAAGTAAAATGGCTAAACTTCAGTATACAGGGCTGGTTCCAAGTCCCAGGGCAGGATGTACAATCAGGGCAGGATTTACAACTTAGTACCTGGGATGCAGTCTACTACAATAGCTCTGGCTTCGGGACATTGATAAGGTTTCACAATCATGGTTTTAACACAGAAATCTGTTTATTAAACCAAACAAAACAGAGAAAATTATACCAGCCCTCAATTTTTGAATTTTCATTTAAATAAGCAAATTCTAAAGTCCACACCTTAAAAGATGTTTGTGCATCTATGTATTTCCAAAATACTCATATTTCAGTAAGATTTTCACATTATATTCACCAACAGTATCACAAAAGGGTTTTTTTTTTGTCTGGTTATTTGTTTTCGTAACTGTAAGGAATGGTAATTCTAGAAACACTAGAAGAAAAGCATAGCAATGTCCACAGTTACAAGAAAAAGTGCACATTACTGGGTCACAATCACAGTCATTACTTGAAAAACTATAGGCAATAAGTAGTCAGAAATATCACTGATGCCTCAAACTCATTGTCGAAAATGGAGCTACATAAATTACATAAGTGAAATAAGGCAGACTCAGGAATGCACAAGGAATTTGTAATCCAACCAAATCTAAACAACAGAAAATAGTACAAGAAGCATGAACTAAAGTTACTTCTCCCTAAGCATTCTTAAAAATAGGCTTGTCTCAGTGCACAGAGAAAACACCATTCATGGGTAGTCGGCACTATAAAATAAAAAGGAGGGTCACGTATGGGGACCGGGAGTAAGTTTGCAGCTGCAGCTGCTAAGAGTACTTTATATCCTTTGTAACCTAGAGACTGGAAAGGATACAAATCATATCAAGAGAGGTAACAGTCAGTTTGGAAACTATTTCTGGAGGAGAGAACTGAAAAGAAAACTACCCTCAAGAGTGCACATTTTCAGATTGTCATTTGCAACCTCTTAACATTCCGTCATCTAGTCCAGTTGCTGCTAGAGAGATGGCTGTAAGACAGAAGCGGCAACCAGGAGTGAGCAGCTGTGATCTTCAAAGATATGTCTCTTTTCCTCTTAAAAAAAATGTTGCGCCGAGGACTGCTTATGGTCAAGCTGCAGTGTTGAGTGGGGGGTTTGAGAGACAGGCTTCTCATAGAAGTCATTCCTGAAGTCATGATTTAAAGAAGTAGGTAAGGGGTTTCCGGCCTTGTTATTTTCTTGTAGAAAGATTTTGGAAAGAGGAGAAGGCAAAGCTATGTGGAAAAGGTACGTACAGTAGTTTCTCAAAACAGTTTTCTTTAGGACCTATGAAAAAGTTACCAAAGTAAAAATGACAATTTTTGAATGCAAAACAAGTTTTCTTTTTATAAAAATTACATATATGCTTTTTTTTTTTAAAATACAAGACCCTTTTCATTGTTGTTTTACCCCATAGCAAGAGGAAAGGTGGCCTTTTTTAATGTCTGTGTGCCAGTTACTGCAACTCTCCAGGCCATGAGTCACTAGCAAATTCCACCAACATTGCATTTGGATCTTGAACTTAAGATATAGATCTATCTATCTATATATGTATACCACACGGTTCCTCTGTTTTATCCTTGAATTCAGAATATACAGCCTTTTTTGCCACCAATATTTATGCTGACATACTAAAAGGAAAAGCCATCGGCTGGACACTTTAAAGTATTTCAAGTACTTCAGAGGTCAGAGTTCCTTTGAAGCACCTTAACACATCGCTTTATGGATCAAGGACAATGTGGCATAGTGGAAGTCTTTCTGTTAAAAGACTGTGCAGTAAGACCAGAAGTATCTCTGCTGGGAAATCAAAAAGTCATTAGTGGAAACTGCAAATTTCTACCTCAGTGAATATGGCCATCATTTGACTCAGTTCTGTTGTAAAATAAGATTTTCCAGTTCATCTGCAGAACGCAATAAAAATGCAGCGGATTCCCGATAGCCTGCCACAAGCTGTCTCACGGCGTTGATTTCAGTGGGGCTCAGCTGAGGCCTGGAGCAGGAACTGCCGGAGGACCCTGAGCTCGTTGCCAACTGCCTCTTCATGCTGAGATCGGTGGGTCCTGAAAAAGAGTCGTAACATCAGGCACAGGAACAATATCTGTTGTAGGCCTTAAATGGTGAGCGTGGAAACATAAGCTAAACTAAATTCACATGCACCTTTGTGAGAAACTCACGATGACTTTGACTAAAATACATGCTCTCCAAAAAAGAATCAAATACATTAGATCAGTAGGAGAGTGTACAGGCATATTTCTCAGACCCCTGTGATGGAGAAATAGGAGAAGAGAACTGTGCTAGGGTGGGACAAACAACGAAGCACTTTGCTACCATGGAAGGCTGGGAACTCCAACCCACCCAGGAGCTCCTCGGAAGATAGACCTAGCAACACTTCGGGACAGCCAGGACCTGAAAACGCTATGGAACAGGGATCCTCACACACATGTAGTGACTACCAACACAGAGAGAATAAAAGTAAACGTGCCTCACATGTTGTAGAACTTCACCCGTGTAGAGTACAAGGGGTTAAAAACATCAGTTATTGCATTTGATCATTGACATTGTAAACTCCAAATTCAACATTGGAACACCCCTAAGTTGTGATTCTGATGTCTTGAGGGGAGGAACAACTTAATGTCGACAGAAGCACATCGAAGGCGAGGGGCGCTCAGGCATGGGTGTGGCCTGGGACAACTGTGTTGGCACAAGAAACACGTGACCCCTATTTGTTTTCTTCACATGCCAGGGCTTCTTTTCATCAGGTTGATTGGTATTCTCAAAAAGACCTCGATGGACACCCTAGCACTATAAAGCTCCTCAATTAAAAATAGGGACAAATTTAGGGGCCTTCATACTTGGCATAAACACCTTATTAAACGTAAGTAGAATACACAAACTAACCGAAGACAAAATCAATGACTGGGACTTCCTTACAAATACTTCACCAACACAGTAAAAAGAGAACCCATGGACTGGGTTAAAAAAATGAGCAATGATATATTGCACAAGGAACTAATCGCCAAAATCAATAGGAAACCTCAGCACCTCAACAAGCAAAGGACGACTAATCCAATTTACAATTGGCAAAGAACTTGATCAGACAGTTCACCAAAGGAGATATTCAGGTAGTCAGGAAACATGACGAGTCTGAAATTGCTCGGCATTCAAGAGATGCAAATCAAAACAATAATGAGATACATCATACCCCAGAATTGATGGCAACAGTTTCAAACACAGAAAATCACAAGTGCTGGAAAGGGTACAGAGAGACCAGAGCTGGTGGGTCTGTGAAACAACAGAATCACCGTGGAGAGCAGTAAGGCGCCTCTAGAAAATTTGGGGACTAGAAATACCACATGATCTACTAATCCCTCTACTGGGATCAAAATGAAACACACACATGATCAGAAATATGCACACCTAGGTTTCCCGAAGCACTCCTCACAAGAAGACAGAAAGCACCTGGGTCCCCATCAGTGGAAGACTGGGTAACTAAACGTCGGTGTCTACACACCAGGAGATACTAGTCAACATTCATATGAATAGTGTGAGGAATGAGGAATTTGTGAAACACTTCATGACATGGAGGAACGTGGAGAATATTATCCTGCGTGAAATTATTCAGTCACAAAAGGGCAAATATTCGATGAGACCACTGTTATTTACAAAAAAAAAAAAAAAGATTTCACACCACAATCAATATCCAACAACGGGGATGGGCAAAAACGATGGAAGCAGGGCAAGATGGGGAGGTTTGATGAGCTGTTGAAGGTGAAACTGATGATCTCGCTGCAAACCTTCACTTAATTCCCAATAAAAAACTTGAAAAGATGTAGTTATGCTAAAGGGAAGATTGCTTTAGAAATGGTCACTAAACATGTGCATAGTGTAAACAATACGCGGAGGAACTTGACTTTGAGAATGATGTTAGGCACTGTTAAGGGCACTTCTATACGTACGTGCATATAACATTCAAATGCACACACTTCTCTTTTTCCATATTTTAGGTCTACTTAAAGTCTGACAGGTCTACTTTTTGATAATGTTTGTACATTTTTACGCAAAACAACTGTAAAGCATATTTTAAAATATTTAATTCAGATAATTATGGAGAAAGCATTTCTGAGATAATCTAAATGTTCATTTTATAATTCTTTTCATTTAGTAAGCATTACTTATAGTTATTAAATCTAGAGTGAGCAATAACATTAAATAAACATACTTAAGTAAGACAGCGGTAAGCACATGATTAAAGAACCCTGGTGGTGATGTCAGCTAAGCACTGGATTGCTAGCCACGAGGTTGATGGTTCAAATCCACCAGCCATTCTGCAAGAGGAAGATGAAACTATCGGAGCTTGTGAAACTTCAATGCCTCAGAAACTATGAGTCGAATTGAACTTGGTGGCAGGGGGGTTGTTTTTGTCTGTAAGCACATAACTCAATGGGGCCTGTAAAAATGAATGAGTCTATAACCTGAAGGTGTTTAGCTGATTTTCTCTACACCTACTGCAACTTTTCAGAAAATGACATTCATTTAGTGAAACTATAGTGAAAGATGCGATTTCATCCTTCAATTCTTCCTTGAGGCATGATGGAGTCAGGGCAAGACTCCCCTCTTCTCCACTGTCGACCCAGGAGGGCAAGGAGCCTGACTGCCTGTCAGCTGAGGGGCAGGCATCCATGGGAGGGAAACAGCTGGACTTGGGATTTAATTAGAGCAAAGACTAGTCCAGCACATTGGAAATCTGACATCGGAGAGGAACTTCTTTCCACTTCTGCAGTGGCCTTTCGAAGCTTTAAATTTCTAGGGACCATTAGCTTCCGTTTGGTTATGTCTAAAACCATGACACTGACATGGCAAGTTGAAAGAGAGTGAGAAGGGGGCGTCACACTTGCCAACAAGAGTGACCAGAAACGCGTTCAAGCAAATCATTATCAGCAACTCACCTCTGTGGAGAGTGATGAGTGGAACAAAGAAAGCACGGGACAAGGCGCTGCATAAACCCCCTTCCCACAGGACTTTCTTGACTTCATGCTTTAGAAGTCCTGTTGCAGAAGGAATCTTTATAAAGAATATTCAGAAAGTTCACTTTCTCTGCTGTGTAGACTAGATGATTCGTGTCTGCTTGGCTTATTCCTGTGATCTTATTAGATATGGGAACTTTTTGTGATTGCTTTCCTGCCAAATCTATTTCTGATTGTCATTCTGAGGTGGATTTGAGACCAGGGAGGTATAGGGCTCCAGTTCTTTTTGGGGTGAGGGTGCATAACTTTATGCTCCATCTCTTGTTCAAGGATAGATTTCCAAATCAAAACATGGCTTATCCTTTCATCCAGGCCTGATTGAAAAACAACAACAACAACAACAACAACATTTTATTAGGAGCTCTCACAGATATATTATTATTATTATCTCACAGATATCATTCATAATATATTATTATTATCTCACAGATATCATTCATAATATTAATTATATCTGTGAGAGCGCCTAATAAAATGTTTTAAAAAATGAAAAACCACTACCACAACAAATGAACAGTGGCTATCAAGTCATCCTAGATATGTAGGCCAGAATAAAACTATTCCATCGAGTTTTCTTTCTTTCTTTTTTTTTTTTTCCATCGAGTTTTCAATGACTCATTTTTTGGAAGTAGATTAGTAAGGCATCTCTGGGAGGACTCAAACCTCCAACCTTTTGGTAAGCAGCAGCCTCCAACCTTTTGGTAAGCAGCAGAGTATGTTAACCATTTGTACTACTGTCATTAGGGGCGAAGCACTAAATAGAGAAGACACCCACACCTCTGTTTACTTTTATTTTTCCACCCAGAAGAAAGTTGGCTTCTTTATCTTGATTTTTCCTTTTAGACCTACAGAATCAGGAGGAAGTACATAAATCAAAATGACAAGGAATCTTTTTTTCTGTGCATGTATTAATCAAACTTTAATTTATAAAGTCAAGCAGTAAAGAAAAACAAAAAGCAAAACCCCATCATCTATGGACATGTTATTTAACTGTAAGAGTAGTGCTTCCCTGTTACAAGCATTTGTTTCTGCCTCCTCAGGTCATTGTCATATTAGTAAATTTACCTTAAATAGTATGCCCAAAATTTTAATGTAATTAAAATGCATATCAATTATGAAGCAAAATTTCAAATTTTATGGAGACGTAGAATTTAAAGATGTCCAGTAAGTAAGTATTCTCCTGGGGACCTTTGAAATCACAGACAAGGCTACTAAGAAGACCACTAAGAAGAGTGGTCTTGGAAGAACTAGACTAGTTCATAAGAATGATGGTACAATAGACGCCTTAAAATGTCCTTATTTTTGAATATCACAAGTTAAGGAAAACACTTACGAGACTCAATGAAGCCTTTTTTTTTTAATACATATCTACATTTTCGTCAAAATTCAGTAGACGTACTTCATAATTATTTTGAAAAGTTGGATAAAGATGAAAATGTCATATTATTATAAAATGGTGTTTAGAAAATGAAGCTTCATTAAAAACCAGCTCATCATTTAAAACTGTTTTACTAGATTCTGGTTCACATTTAAATTATAACAAAATCTCAAATAAATGAAAATATATGTGTCTAATTCTTCATTTTATTTTACACAGTAAGCTATCATTTGAATTTCTTCCCTGCTCACAGTTCATTTTCAAGGGTCCTTGAACATGCTCTGTCCTGGGGTCTTCTTCTTGGAGGGACCCAGGAAGGCTCTCTCTTCCTGCTTTAGAGATGGCTCACTCTCACAGCCAGGGGTGGTGGTGGCTGAAACTGACCACTCCCCTCTATTAGTGCTTTACACAGCCTAGCTACAGGGGCCCTCCCTATCATTTGGAGGAAGTTATAGAGGCATGGGTAGAAAAGCCATATAAATAAATTTCACCTCGCCACAAGAGGGAGGGGAAAGAAGGACACACAGGAGGAAGTATGGCCTTCCTCAGAACTGCGACCATTCAAACTCACCGTGTTCTTGAACATGCTTACAGGAACAAAGCACTGATAAAACATGATTAACCCAAGAACAGTATACTGAATGATGATAAATAAAGC